GCCAGAACGGGGTTTGCGGGCACCCCCATCACAAGCGAGTCCCCTTTCACGCCGGGCATCTCAGCAGCCAGCGAGCGCGGCCTTTTCCCGGGATAACACTGATTGGCGAGGGCGAAACGGGAAGCGCAGACGGGAGAGCCGCACTCCAGCTGGAGCACCTCTGCCTCCCGGGAAACGCATTCCGCTCCGCTGCCGTTTATCTCGGAACGCACTCGAGCTAAAAGGAACTCATTTGCCTTCGTGCTGAGGTGAGAGCAGAGATATCTGTGGCGCTCAGAAGTGATATGTTTTATCATGTATCATATATTACCGAAGCACAATACCTTACGCCCAGGCATATTAACATACGTTGGCCTTTACAAGAGCCACTTGTTAGGGGCGCAAAAAGAAGTCGCAGGCAGCACTACTGCTTGTTTAAGCAATGCGAGATTGCAGATAGCCCCAGGGAATCCCCTCTGCTCACTAACTAGCCACAATTAGCACCTCCCTAGCCCAGCAGCCAGCTCAGGCTGCAGGGAAGGAGGGAAGGGTGTGAGAACCGCCCAAAACAGCAGCATCCACCCCCAAAAATGGAGCCCGCAACCTGAAAGAAACTCCTGCCTCCTGCAACTGAAACCCACATTTAAAATGCACCCAGGCTCTAGCTAGAACGTTATCGACGCACAAATCAATTCAATGCTACAAATGCTATTAAGTCATGCATATTTTTCACAAACTTGCTCAACTATGAGGAATAAAGGCAGGCAAAAAAAAATCAGCATGTGTAAAGGTTGAGACAATTTAAATGTTTCTATTTCCTCTGGGAGGAACTGCTAGCAAAACTATTGGCTTCTTGTATTTTATTAACTGTGTTTAACTCATTAACATGCTTCCTATGGAATAATAGAGATTAGAAAAAAAATCCATGTTAGGCTTTAACCAATTTAAACTCTCATAAACTCTCATAATTTCCCGTAATGGAATCAGCCACACTAGTCAACCCTCTCCCGAGATGCCCATGCCATAAACACATTTTCCACGCTAATCCCCGTTGCAGACGCTCCTCGCGGCTTCGGGGCTTGCCGAGCTGCCACCGGGACACCCAGTTACACCAGCAGCGACGTCCTCCAATGCCCAGTGCTAGTGCCTTAAAAAAGCTGCCTAGGAACTTAATAAGGCGCCTTTATTAAGGGAAATTCATTCAAAAGCCAAGAGTGATGCACAAGGTTAAACAGCAGCAGTCTAAAGGTTACCTGGCAGCAGCAACCAATTTGAAAAAGTTATTAGGAAAGCACTGGGCGTTTGATGAGATCTCTTGCGGACGGCTCGTCCCCGCGCGCGCGCTCGTCTCTGCTCCGGCGCGTGGCCAAACGAGCACGCGTCCCGAGACCCCTGCACTTCCTGCCCTTCCCGGCCCGTTCGGGTTTGTGAAAGCTCCCAAGTGATCTATTCCGCACTATTAAAAAGGAAGTCAGAAAAGTTACCGTTTATTCACAGCTTATTACCCAGCTGTCACCTTTATCCCCAAATCAAGCTTGCTTATCGGGAAACGAAGTCTGCATCCCAGACAGAGAGCCCTGACAATCTCGTATTGCTCCTCAGCTTCCACAAGGACAGCCTTCCTGATTTCCAGCCAACAAAGAAACCTATTAAATAAACAGATCTCAGGCTTAAAATCACATGAGTGGCAGCTCACAACTCGTCTGGAAGGGCCTCATGACCTCAGGTACGTCTGCGCAAGAAGCACCTTCCAACGCCCCAATTTCAGCATTTTCCGTGCCGCAGAGCGCCCCTCGCTAAGGAGCCCCAACGAGCCCCCGTGGGGACACGTCACAACCACGGGCTGACTGCGCCGCTTCCCAGATGGACGGGAAGAGGAAAAAGGCTCTCGAGGAAAGTTTCTGGAAGGGTCGACACCTCGCCGAACAAAACAACTCATTTAGCCATCTCCCGAAATCTCCAGATGATAAATTACATTGATGTTAATCACTTCACTGCATAGTATGCAATTAGTATTTGTACTCAACAGAAATACAAAGATTACTGAAGATATGACAGCATATGTAGAAGGACGCGTTCTCAACATAATTGGGTGCCAGGCACCCTCCTGTCAGCAGAGCAGCTTCTCGGGGTGCGCGCTTTAGAGCTAGACTCGTGCACGTAACAGGGAACGTGCAATTAATTAGAACCAAAAACTCCCCAAGCAAGAACAGAATCAGAAAAGACAAAGTGCCAAAATAGGACTTCCACGCTTTCATTTCCAGTATCACATAATCAGATAAGGAAAAGTACCGAAAGACTGGGCTTAAATGTCTCTGAGAATATCTCGTTCCATTCGATTCCTTAATGATATTTTAATGCATTTTGTTGCTTCATTTCCTTTCTAAAATTACACTCAACCTACTGCTCTTCCATCCCTCTCGAATGATGTGGATCACAAAGGGGGAGCAGCCCAGCCAGGAAGAGCAGCTCTTCCCACAGCGCTCCCGTGCACCACTGAGCGTTAAACCCAGGCTAAGGCAGCAGCACTGCACACGTATGGGCTGCCCTGGGGCTCAAGGACTCGGCTGTGAATAAAGCCCGGGTTTATCTCAGCTGTCCCCTTCCAGGGCAGCCCCTGCCTCCCTCTTGCTAGCCCGGGAAGGCGGGAGCAGCGGCGGGCGCCGTTCACAGAACGCTCTGCACGTCACCGAGAAACGTAAAACCCCCCGGGTCTGCAACTGTCTTGGACTGTATCACACAGAAAATGCTCACAGTGGCCGTTTTGAAAAGGCAGCGAACTAGGTCACTTTGCAGACCTCAATTCCTACAGCTTTTCCTTCACGCAGGCGAGAACCTTTCACTAAAATGTCTATTCGGCTCCAGGAACATCTCCAGAAGCACTTTGAAAAGTTGAAGCAGAAGCCCTTTAGATTGTCACTGACACCTACGGTCCTAATTTACCAAAAGACCCACCTGGCAAACTACAGTACGTTTTGGGGAGTGGTGCTGGCTTTCGCCTTATTTTTTAACCTTTGCATCGCATCTTACAGAGAGATCTCCACATTCTGAAATCTGGTCGCACAAAAAACACCTCGTTAGCTTGGACGGCTCCATCCCTCACCCTTCTGCCCTTCCGCGACGCATTCCATGCTTCCAGCTCCCCAGCACGTGGGAAAACCAGCAGGATTCCAGGGGAGCCTTCCAAAGGGACCCGCAGGCCGCTCGGAGCCCTCGCTGGCAGGTACGGGACAGCCTGCAAGATTTCAACTTCTCCGCATAAGCAGAGACGGGATTTTTTTCCCCCGTTAAGTATTTGATCAAGCCTCACAAAGGTGCTAATGTATTATTAAAGCTAATGGAGCTCTACAAGAAATGTTAATGGGCATTAAGTTTGCATAAATGAATTACGCATTAGCACAGTCACAAGAAATCCGGGATCTGCCAATTTAGGTAGTATCTGATCTTTTCTGTTTTCCTCATTACAGGAACATTACGCTGGCTTCGGAGGTATGAGAATTGTCACCAGGACGTTCCTAATGAGGCTACATCATGAAGAAGAGGAGCCAAATTAACACAGGCTCGCGTCCCCCCGCGCGGCGTTGGGGTGGACGTGGCCACGCAGGGCCCTGCGGGACGGGACGGGAAGCCGCGTTCCCACCGCGAGTGCCGACCCCACGGAATTAAACCAAGGGCAGCGCCGGAGGCTCGGAAGGCACCAAGGGAGTGTTTCGTTTTCACCACGTTCACCGTTTTTGCCGGTGAGCAGCCAGCTGCTTTTTGTGCGCTGCGAGTGCAGCTCCCTTTTTGCAGAAAGATAAGCCTGCCGCTAGAAGAAAAATACTTGGGATTTAATCTGTTCTGACAAGTACAAAAGCCAGCCAGGAACAAACTGGTACAAATTCCAGGTACACAATGTTATTCCGTAAGAGAAAAACAGCGCGTATTTGCTGCATTGCCAAAGGGCTGGGAAAAGTCACAGCTTAATCCACCGAACAGTACCCAAGGCTGTGATTTGCTTTTTAAACAGGGGGATATAAACTCCATCTACCCTGCAGGAAAACGCAATGGTGTAATGGAGGGTTCCCCGGCGCGGGACTCGGATACTCACACATGACTTCCAGGTAGCGCTGCGTCTGCAGGTCCTTGACGGCGGGGTGGTCCACCAGGCAGATGACGGGGACGCCGTCGTCCTCGCGGCCCACCCTGAGCAGCAGCTGGCTCGTCACCGTGTACATGTCGGACCACTGCTCCACCTCCGATTTGCCTGCAGAGAGGAGCCCACGTGAGCGCGAGGCAGGCGGCAGCGCCCGGGAAGCGCCGCGTCCCGTCCCCAGCGTCCCCTTACGCTACGGGAGCTGAGCCTTTGAGGCAAAGTGTCACCAGTAACTGGAAAGGCAGCTCTGTCACATGGAGAAGCGGTTCCGTGCAACACGCTCAAGGAAGGCACGCGGGCAGCCGCAGAGAAAAGCCATCCTTGAGATTCGGAGGAAAGCCTTCCCCATCGGAAGCTACAGACTCTGCTCACAGCCCACACAACAGGAATGAAACAAGCAAGCGCTTCAGCATCCCCGCTGCTATTAAAACAAACAAGCAAACAAATCCAAGGGCTCAGCCAGGTGAGCCGGTGCTCCGCAGAGCTCCCGCTCGGCTCAGCGCCTTCAAAGACACAGGGAAGCGGGAATTCAACCGCCAGCGCAAGAAAACTCAATCGAGATGCCAGACAGGTCGAGCATGAAGGGTCAAACGCTGCTGCCCTCCCGAATGGAAGGGGAAGCCGGGGAGGAGATCGTTTGGAGATGTGCACAACATTTAGAGGACAACAGTTGCTGCAAGTCACCGGGTCACGCTCCCCGCGGCAGCACGTTTTGCTCTCCATCTTTATCAGCACAAGCTCTGCACGTCTCCGCGAGCCTGGAGGCCCGGGGATGCTACATGCAAAAGCAGGATTTGATTTTGCCCTTGCAGGGGGTCAGGGTTGTAGAATGAGTCCAACTTCTGCATAAAGCCCTTTGCTGTCCCTGACTGACTAAAGCAAAAAACGCTGTCAACCAAGCTCGCATCTACATGCAGACTTGCGCTAACAGCACATCAAGTGCAGTCAGTGCAACTTATGCATGTGCAAATATTACTATGAGCTACCAGACCTTGGAGAGGGAGGAGCGCCCTGCTTGCAGGAATCTTCACCCGGCCATGTAAACAACGCCCTACCAGCAAAATATCTGCTTCTAAAAGTGACCTGAGAAGCTTTACAGCTGCAAAGCAGATCTTGAGCTTGCCCAGAGCTAGGGCAGGGCACAGAGCTACCCCAGGCAGCGCAGGAGGAGATTGTGCGCACGGCGTTAGGGCTCCTCAGGGTCTCCTGCAATCAGAAAACCCCTCCGGCGCTGAGCCCGGCCTCACGCACGGCAGCAGGGCCAGAGGGTGCTGAGCCCTTCCTGCTCGAGCTGTCCCTAGGGCTGCCACCCGCTCCTGCGCCCGCGCCGGGCTCTAAAGCCACTCGCGTTGCTGCTCTCTCAACCAGCAATGCGGGCAAACACACAGCACTGCACAAGTGAGCCCCGCTGCCGGCAAAGACGGAGAGGAGACATCCGTACCAGTGAGCTCCTTGTTCCCTTTGAACCATCTGATGGTGGTGGCGGGTCTGCTGGCCATGGCAGTGCAGTTCAGCTCAATCTCTTCTCCCTCGACGGCAATTTCCTTCTGGATGTCAATCACCAAGTTGCGTGGCGGGACTAGAAGGAGAAAAGACAACACGGCACACAGTAAAGCAATGCAAAACAGAGGGCAGCTCTGGAGTGCTAGCAGAGGACGAGCCCTTCTGGAAAGGCCCCAGCACACACTACAGAAAGCACCGCATCTCTTTGATCTGTCGGTCGATCAAAGCCTTTAATGAGGAGTTCCATAACGACCCTGAGCACTCCCTGCACCTCGTGCCAGCAGCAGTTTCAGCAGCTGTTACTTAGCCAACGGTTAAGGTGGTTAGCTGTCCTGGGCAGCTCCAAGCGGAACCCACGGTCGTGGTGACGCTTGTGCTGCTTTTGGAGGCTCCCGTTGGCTGCACACGCAGCTCCCGGCTCCCCGTGGCGCTTCCCAGCGCGCCGTGCCCGCGGCTCCGCTCTGCCCGGAGCGGCCGCGCTTCCCGGGAAAGCTGCCGCCGCCCTCATCCGCACGGAAAATAATCCAATAATGTGGACAGCGAGCCCGGAGCCTCGGTGGGGAGTGACATTGTGACAGAAAGCAGAGCTTTTCCGTATTATTTTTAAACGTGAAAACAACAGGAGGTAGTGAGGTGAAAAGGAGGGGAAAAGCGGGCAGCACCCGCTTGTAGAGCAGGCAGTTGCACTTGCAGGGAAAACCTAAAACTTAGAGAGGAAACTTAACTTTTTTCCTCTGATCAATATGATTAAGGAAGCATATAGTTCAAATGTGACTAGCGTGTTCTTTAGCTAATGAAGAACAAATAAGAGTAAACAGCATGCAGATGATCAAATGGCCTAATTAGTCACTTGTGGCTTTCCTCTAAAAAGGAGAGAACAGAGCCCATACTTGAGATTTGCACATGTTCCAATTAGGCATGCATAAAGGGACACGCAGTGTCACCGAAGGCAGCAGAACACAGGGGACAGGCGGTCCGCTCGGACGCAGGACCTTGCTGAACGGGAGACCCTGCTCGCCGGGAGCAGGGCTGGCTCTGCGCTCCCGTGTGGATCGTGCGGAGCGGGAGCAGGCGGCAAATCCCTCCGCCGCCAACGTAGAGCAGCCCGAGTAACGACCAAGGGGCGTCTTCGATGGAGCACGGAGGGCATCCTGACCCCGAAAACGCCCCCGTTCCCCCATCCCTGCTCCCGGCTAGGGAGCCGGCACTGCGGGAGACCAGGCAGGACACGGAACGTCCGGAACACCGACGGCCGCGTCAGTCTTCCACCTGGAAGCCTCGCAGCTCCTGCGGATCGGTGCAGCCCGGCGCCGGTGACGCGTGTCGCGCACGCAGGATTACGGGGGCAGCACTGGCACAAAGGCGCACGTGAGGGCTCCAGAAGCCTCAGCTGTTGGTAAAGGTAACGGCTATGCCAGAGCTGATTATAAACATTATTTAAACAGTGCACAACAAGCTAAGAAGCCAATCTCATTAAATAAAAGAGGAGAGAGATTTAAACTAATCAGCAAGCAGGATCTTACATCAAGTCATCCACTGCGATTCAGGTTCTGCTATTAACAGGCTCTTAAAAGGCCCTGCTAATCTGCAGGGCGAGCTCTGTGGGCATTAGCTCCTGTGCCTGGCGACCGCAGCAGGGCCGTGCGCGGCGCGAGGGCAGCAACGGGAGCAGCCCGCTGCACCGGGGGCCTGCAAACCGCCTCTGGAAACGGCCATTCCCACACAAACAGCAGCTGCTACAGGCCACATGAACGCCCCTGGGTGCTCTGCAGGTCAAACACACACCCTCCAGTGAAATCGACAGGACGCTATCGCTTTCTGTTAGTCACACTCAGAATTTTGCTGAGCACACGCCAGCGAGCAAACCCTCCACAGCCTGCACGCCGTCACGGCGCCCGGAGAGTCACCAGCTAGGCATGTCTGCAATATTGATGCTAAGGAATATAAATAGGCAGGCAAAAGAAGATGGATAAAGATGCTGTCATTCTTCATTATCATCTTTCAAAACTCCAAGCCTCAGACGCAAATATGAAGTGCGTGGTCACAGGAGTGCGCTTAGTGAAAACAGGAACTTCCTAAACGCACCGGTTGCACCCCGCAGCCCAACACTAGCCCTGATTCCTCTTCCAGGTCTCGGGCACTCGTGGAGAGCAGGGTCAAACCCGAGGGACAGAGGAGGCTGGGGCTTTACCCACAGAACGTGCAAGGGGCCGCCAACCCACCCAGTGCTCCCTCGGCGTTGCGCGCTCCGAGCGATGGAGCGGCCGCAGCACGCGCCCACGCAGCGCTTACCCAGCACGGTGATGGTGGTGTAAATCTCCTGGGGGGGATCGGTGTAGAGCTGGCAGAAGTACCTTCCTTCGTCGGAAATGGAGACGTTGGTGAGCGACACTCGCAGCTCGCTGTTGGAGAAGTTCACCAGCTGGAACCTGCTGTCCTTGAGCGCTGCGGAGAGACGGGGCGTCAGGGCCGGGGCGCAGGGGGAGGAAAAAAAAACCCGCCGCCATCGTCCCTCCCCGCGTTCCCCTCGGACTTGCAGGACCACTCGTGTCCGCAGACCCCGCAAAGCGCCGGGGAAGAGAACACGATGCCCTGGGCACACGGGCCCAGCGACACGGACATCAAACATGTCACTTCTCAGCTCTGACACAGCCAGAAGCAACGGCAGCTGCACGCACCGGGTGACAGATTCTGCTCTGGTTATAAAGAGGCATAGATTGTGTCAGAAATTTCAGTCTTCAAACTAAACATATTACCTCTGAGAACGCTGCACTCGCTCTGCTTTGCCCTATTCAATTTGTTTGTGTCAGCTAAATATTTGGCACTCAATTGCAATTCACCCTGAATTACTACAATCAATTCCTATTGCAAAGTAAGACAGTCTGACTTTTAAAAGGGACCATCAAGGTTTCCATTAAGGAGAAGGATTATGATTGCCTGTCTCATCTACCCTCTAAAGAATTGACTAAACTTTAAGTGTCTAACATTAAATTAAAAGTAGAGATCTTAGCAATCGCTTTACTCGGAGAGCGAGCAAGGTGGAGAAAAAGTTGCGACCAAATCGCAGCGCGAAGATCAAACTTACGTCTGAAATCTCGGAAATAAATGGTCTGCCTGTTGGGGTTGAGGAGCTGGATCACCGAGTCATCGCTGTTCTTCACCCGACAGCTGATGGTGGCAACGTCTCCCTCCACTACTGTCACGTCCTCCGTCACCAAGTTCTGTCCGTCACCTTGAGGAGCAGCAAAGAGAAGACATCAGGATGGGATGGGCAGAGCGGCACTGGGAACGGGAACGTGAACGGAGCCGCCGCAGCTACGGGAACAAGCGACCGAGGGCTGCTGCGGCCTCCATCCGCGCCCATCGCTATCCCATCCAACGTGGGCACACGGCGCCCACCTCTGTCTGCGGACACAGAGCCGAAAGACACCAGATTCCTGAGATTTTTAATTAAGCAAACTCTTCCCTCTAACAGGGAAGGGAAAAAAATCCCTAAGTGCACTAGACACCACGCTAGGTAGGGAGCCGTATAGAAAAAATGCAACTGCAATCTGTTAACAAGTTAATTAATTTTAAAGCTTGATGAAACAACTTTTATTGTTCTAATTTATGCGAGCAGTATAGCACCAATATTCTAAATTGCGCTCTAATTGCTACGAAATTAATCCCTGCAAGCGAGCGAGCCTCCTCTCCGCGGCAGGCACCGCGCGTGCCCGTGTCGCTCACCGCGCCGCAGCGCCGCAGCGCGAGCGGGGCTCGGAGCACGCGGAGAGCGGGAGCGCTCCCGCGTCTGCCCGGGATGTGTTGGAGCGCTCCCTGACAACCGAGCTGCACGGAAAAAAACGGCACCGTCTGAAAAGCTACACGCTGCAAAAACAAGGGAAGTGTCAGCTAAAAATGTATTAGTTATTTTTCAAGTAAATGATAGACACGGACAGATTTCTTCCCCTCCTTTGAAAAGAAAACGGCTTAATTTTGAAAGCATCGGGCTGTGCTGGGGGAGAAGATAAGTCAGTCTGCAGCGTTTTTTCCCAAGGGAACGTTGCAGTTTTCACAGGAGGCCCAAGGCCACGCAGGCTCGCCCGGACACAGAGCAGGAGGTTCCCGAAACGGGCCGGGTGCCGGAGGGTCCCCCGGGGCCCGCGCGCCCTGTCCCTTACCCAGCTCCTTCATGGGCTGCTCTTGCAGGACTGTCACCTGAGGGGAGCCGAAGCAAAGGGACACGGGAAGGGCCAGCGCGGCCACTGGGACTGAGCCCACTGCTAGCGACCGTGGGGGAAGGAAAAGCATCAAAACCAAGGAAAATCCCAAACGCTGCCCAGGACGGGGATGAGGAGCTACAGAGCAGGGCCTGCACGTTGGGCACCACCATGGAGAGAAGTCTGCAAACACTAAATACATCCTGGTTTCTTTCTCTCAAAAAGAAAAGAAAAAGGATTCTGCCCATTGTTATTTGGGCTCCCTCAAAAAGCAAAGCATTTGGCAAAGGAAAACTGCATGGGCTGGGAAGAAAAGGCATGACAGACTGTGAGATACCTGTGAGCATCTGCTCAAAGCCTGCGCCCAGCTTTCCACCCTGCTGGCCTAAGTTTTATTTCTCTAGACGGAAGAGCATGAAGGACTGGGGAAGCCATGAGCATCCCCATGGAGTTTGCACTGGAGCAGAGCCCCAAGGCTCGCGGCAGGAGCCCGGGGCAGCCCGTGGAGCCGCGAGAGGACGCCCGGCTCTGCCGCCAGCACCGCAGGACTGCGCTCCTGACCCTTCCAACCACTGCACCGCGCTACTTCCTCGTGTATTATGATTTACCTAATCACAGCCGGGGAAAACGCAACTCCCTTCATTGCTTACAGAGTGAAACAAATGAACGAATGGCTCCGCTGTCCCCATTAAGCCTTTCCACCCCATAAAGCGGGTTTCAGCGTGGCTAATCTGATCGCGGGCAGGACAACCCTCTCCAGCAGGGCCATATGTCGCTGCCGCCCTCGGCAGCGCTGCGGAGCGCCGCGGTGCGCTCGGTGTCCCCGGTGCCCCCGGTGTCCCCGGTGCGCTCGGTGTCCCCGGCATCGCTGCCCTCCGCTCCCCCGTCACACCCCTAGGAACAACCCGGCAAGCGCTCGCATCAGCTGCGTGCGCTCGCTGTGTTTCTTCATCAACACGAGATTCACCGCTCTCATTAACAACGCTATTAAGACTCGATGTCCATCTGAGCAATTATTGCCAGCATACCTTCCTTTTCTTTTATTTATTTTTTCCACATTTCCTTTAGAAGACTCAATCCTGTGGGAAAGCAAAGAGAGGAGCAGGTAACAACAACCGAGAGGCCCCACCAGCCCTTCTCCACCCAGGGTTCCTCTCCATCCTCCTTCTCCAGCAGTCTTCCCAGGTGATCCTGACATCCTCACCTCTCTACCTTTACCAGGTGCTACTTATATCTCACCAAGTGTTCCCTGTTAACCTCTAACAGTTGGCCTCAGAAAATCCTTTTATCCAGCAAGCAATCAGCATTATTATTTTCCTCCGTGGCCAACCTTTCCTCCTATTCCTTATTCCTTATTCCTACTCAACCCCCGGCTCCAATTCCCCAAACCACTCCTCACACTTCCTGAGCTTGGCGTCAGCGTGGAAGCCCTCTTGACTCCATAGGAATTAGAGGGGACGTAATCTGGAACCGGGGGATTGGAAGCGGGAGCCGCCGAGGCTCTCCCGGCGCTGCCCCGGGTCCCGCCGGGTGCCACGTTGTCCCCAAAGCGCTGGCCCTGGCGCTGGTGACGGGCGCGGGGGCGCGAGGACGGCGACCCTCGCACACCGCAACGTTCATTCCGAATCCAAGGACGTCGAACCCGTCCCTCGTCGGCCGAGATCCGCTGCCCTTGATGACCCACATTTGCTCAAGCACGAGCCCCGGACAGTACAAGTTAACACTGTCCATCATCTGTATTCATGGCTGCTCCCAATTAATAGGCCAGGCTATTTCCATGAACAATATCAATTATGAGTTTCCAATTAAATAAAAGTACAATGTGAAACAAGAGCTCTCCGGACCCATTTTGAGAGCACATTAAGGTTCTTGCTAAATATTTACTGGCAGCATACACGTACTCTGAGGAGCTGTAAATTATTTAGGGTAAATTAAAATTATTGCAAGCGCGCTCTGTTTGTAAGCCGGCAGAGCTCTGCAAAAGGCACGAAACGAGAGCCTGCCCGTTGTGCAAGCCCATGCAGAGCTCGGCTATAAATCACCGGTTCGCGCGCACACATAACCCGCGCTCGCAGGTAGGCAGATTTTCCAAACGCGCTGCCTCGGCTCCAGCTCTTCATCACTGTCTGCAGAACCCGGGTGACTTACACTTCACCTAAGAGGCAAGAACGTCCTTGATGTAGAGCATGAACGCGTCTCTATGGAGGGCGGGAAGAGCCCGTGAAAGCAGCTCTCCCGCAGGGCCGGGCTTCAGGGGGAGCTGCCATGTACACGCAATAAACACACATAGCCAGTATTTATGGGAAAGCTCAGCAGCTGAAATAGACATCTGCAAGGCAACAGGCAGCAAAAGAGCGCTGCGGTTCCTGCATTGCCTGGAGCAGCGCTTTGGCCTCGCTTAGTGAATCTCTGTGCAGCACCTTCCCGTTACTGCAAGAGAGAGCGCATGGAAGGATGCAGGACTTAAGGAAAACCTTTGACCACAAGCCATGCAATTAATTTTTACCCCTGTATTTCCCGCGCAGCACAGCGACCTTGCCTCAAAGCTCATCAATTCCAGGTATCTAAAAAATGCTGTAGTAGAGAGAGACCTACAAAAGTTCAGAGAAATATGAGGCAAGTTTTGTCACGTCTGGCAGCGTTTCTTCCGAGCGCTTTGCCTCTTCCTACCTCTTCCAAGCCCTGGCAGCTCCTCGGAGCCGTCACGAGGACGGCCTCCCTTCGAGGGAGGCTCCTGAGGCGCCTCTTCCAAAGGAGCCCCTTGGACGCCAGCTCCGAGCGCGCGTGGGCACCCATCGGCACCCCGGAGAGGCAGGGAAGCGTCACGCCGAGTCGGCCGGCGAGGTGAAAAGCCCTCGTTTGTCAGGAAGAAGCCAAGTTGTTTTGGACCACAACACAAAAGGGCCATTTCTCGGCAGAAAACTGGGTTTTTGTGACTCGGCCTCGCAAAGTCTGCTGCGCTGCCTTGCTCACTTCATCAGCCGTCAGTCATTACCCGACACCCTCCCACCCTGAAGTGTCTCTTCTAGGCTAAAGCCAGGAAAAAACAACCAGCAGACACCCTCGAGGCCGCAGAATGGGAAGGCAAACAGCATCAGAGCTGGTGAACATGCCCCAGACTGTTGAGGCTATCAGGAAAGAAGGACGGAATAAAGCCCAACCAAGCGCCAGGTCGAAGTCATGATTCACACACGTGGGAGGAACAAAGAGAGGGAAGCGCCGTCCCCACGCCGACTGCTTTCCTTGCCTACAGGACAGGAGGTGACAACAGCTCCAAACTGACACCGGGGAGCACCCACCAAAGCGCTGGGAGCGCCTGTGGTGACCGGGGGATCTTTGAACAGCAAAGACAGCGGGGTCGGCGCGGGAGCCCCCGAACGCCCGCACCGCCGGCGGGCACGAGGCGTCGCTCCCAAAAGGGACTGCGGCCTCGGCCGGGCACGGGGACCCCATGGGGACAGCCCCACGCAGCCGCAGGAGCCCCCGTCCACGCGACAGCGCTCACCAAGAACAATGGGATGGTTCATCCGAAACAAACCTGCGAGGCTCAGTTAAAATGGTTCCCTCGGATATGGCGATTGTAAACACAGCCTCGTTCTGCCGTGAAAATCCATGCCTTTTTCTGTGGCGAAAGATCTTTCAGCATCTAAAGCATTTCCTGAGTTCATGTTAGTCAATGTCCCCCTCCGCCCTGGCCGCTGCCAGGAGCCGCACACGGGCACAGATTTACGGGCTGTCCCCTGCGCTGGGATTAGATGTCACGCTCCCCTTTCCATTGCTCCGATATCGACAGGGACCATGCGGTGGCCGTCCCTTCAGAGGTCACATCACGAGGCGCTCGCATCGATGGGGACGCTATGGGGCTGCGGGCAGGCCCGGCGCGC